AAATTTAATATCAAGTATGATTAAAAGTATGATGCTTCCTATGTTCTTCCTAATATTTATGATTCTTAGTATCATGTTAGGGTTAAAGCTTTGATTTTTATATGCTCAGTGACATGCTAGGGTTTGTTATTAATCTTGTTAGTATCATGCCTAGGATCTTGCTAATATTATGCTTTAACATGTTTATGATGATTATTATTATAATTATTGTTATGATTATCATTATGTTGCTTGACATTTATTTATTTTTATTGCTTGATCGCACCTTTATGCATGTTTAAAGGGAATTTATACTTGTAATCACGCTTAATAAGATAATTAATAATCTTGTTTAGGGTTAATTTGATTATAATTCAAGTGATCGCCAATAATAGATTTATTTGTGCATTAATATTCAACCAACATAGATAAACAGGTTTAGGTTTAATCCTATTGATTGCATGTTAGTCAGAAAGCGCACATGAATAATTTCAGAATAAAGTAGAGGCCTATTATTAGGGCAGGTTCAATCTCTTTTAGGTTGGATTTGTACCTTCATCCCTGAACTACCAGTCATGGTTCCAGACCTATTGGAGTTAACGATCTCCTGGATCGTTAAGGGGTGTAACCTTCACCTCGTGAACGGTTTACAATTTCCTAAAACTTGTTGGAGACTCTTTTGCTCTATCTTCTTTCCCTTTGGACGCCACCGTACTTTAGTGTATGATTACAGTGAGGTTCAAGCTAGGGATAACGCTTGAAATATTCCCTATAGGGTTTGAGGGTGTTGATTTCAGGGGTGGGGGATTTCGAGAATATTGCTCTAGGTGCAGGTTGAGGGATTCGTGGGGAGGGGGGATAGGAGGAAGAAAAGGGAGGGGAAGGGAGACAAGGTGATTGGATTGAGGAAATGAAGGGTGAGGGGTGGCCGAAAGAAGGGTAGGGAAAGTGAAAGGGTTGATCATGTTTCTACAGCAGTCGTTTGAATATGACTACCTTATTATTTTAACGATAAATAATATGAGCGATCAATTTTTTTCACACTATAAATTGGACACAATTAGTATTCTAATTTCTACAATGCAAATATAATTTTTGAAAATTTTAATCAAATATAACATAAATATTTTTCGAGAAACTATATAATAAGAGTAAAAATTACATAAATAAAACTAAAATTTTGATAAATTAAAAAAATATTTATAATAATATTTATAGCAAAAATAGATTAATATAACTAATTACTTGGATAAAATACGTTAATTATAAACTATAAAATCATTAAAATATTATGATAGTCATATTTTAAATTACCACTGTAGAATTTTCAGTGTAATAGAGGGGAAAGTGAAATGGAGGCTGGAAAGAAAAGGGGGGTTGTCGCCATCCAGAATAAATGGTGTTGAAGAGGAAGGGGGGCTAATATTCTAATATAAGTAAAGAAAAATAATTATGTTTTTGGACTAATAAAAATGTGACATGTGGCAATGTGACCTGATATATTAAGTTGGTGGTTGGTTTGGCCTAAATTTAAAATACCTCTGAAGCTTGGGTTATTCAAGAATACTATGTTAAATCCCGTGTCATGCACAGACGGTTACCTATAGCTATATATAGTTATAGATTATTGATTGAAAACTATTATAATCATAAATTTAGTCAAGGAATAATAAATTATTGATTTGGTATTTGCAATTTTAAATTGTAGCTTCTAATAAACAATAAACACAAAAGTAGACAAACAATTTGAGCAATATTCTTTCTTATTGTAAAATAGGTCGCAAATTATTTTAAAATATTGATTTTAGGTTTATACCAAATTTATTTAGAAAGATTTGTGAAATATTTTTTTATTTGAAATATAATTGTTACTACATGTTAATATGGAATATTAAAAAAAAAATAAAAAAAATATTGTAATAGATTTGTTTCCTTCATAAAAAAAAAAAACAAAAAACAAAAAAAAAAAACTAAAGATACACCTGAAGATGACATGTGTCATTGCTGGTGTGTCTTTTAGTATATATATTATTGATATTGATTGATTATTGATTTCAATATTCATAGGTTGAATTATTAGATATAAATGGGAAAATATTGGATTATATAAATCTTCTTTTCTAAAAAAAAATGGTGCGACATATTTTGCAATAATACTGTAATGAATTTTGGGTCTGTTCTCTTCAGATTATTTTCAGTTCAGTTCAGTTCTTAATTTCCTTCTCTTATAAAATATTAAGTTCAACTCTTTTTAGTCAATCAGAACATGCCCTTATGGTTGGCAATACTGGAAACGTATCGTTCACGTAGAATTCGTGTTCGAAGTTAAACGGGTTGACAAACCTCAACACTAACCCAACCCATTTAATAAACGTGTTATTTCGTGTTGACCCGTATAACTAATCGTGTCGGAAACTCTTCACTCTAACCCACTACATAGGTTGAATTATTAGATTTAAATGGGAAAATATTGGATTATTTAAAGGAAAAATTGCGGAAAATAATATAACCTTGGCCGATTCTTTTTTAATAATACAACCTTTCGATTAATTAATAATATTACAACCTTTAGGGGGTGTTGAATTTTAACAGGCAAAACAACTTGTAACCTGTTGGACAGGTTACCCATGGCACGTGTTGTCATGTAATTGGTTTAAAAAAAATTTTAAAAAAAAATTTTAATTAAAATTGTTTATTTAACTTTTAATAAAATAATTTTAATTAAATCTTTCAAAAAAAATAATAAAAAAAAAAAAAAATCACCCACCAGGCCACCACCCTGCACCACCACCTCTCCCCTGTTTTCTTCACTCCCCTGCCATCACCACCCAACCAACAACAGCAGCACCGAACCACCCCAGCATCTCCCTCACAACCCCACGACCCTACTCCCTCACTGCCACCACTGCGCCACAATCAGCACCACCTCCAAGCACCATCAATCATCATCCCATGAATCGCCTCGCCAAACACCACAACAACTCCTATCATCTTCGCCATGCCAACAAGAACAAGCAGAGCAGCCACCACGACTCCAATCGCCACCAATCACCACCAACAACCACTAACCTGAAACCACCTATCCCCTGCATCATAGCAGCTCCACCACCGCACAAACTTGCATCTACCAGCCACCAAATCTTCTCCCTCAGTCATCCAACATCGACCACATTAATTGCAACAATTCTCAACTATCGCTGCTCCAACACCATTGCAGGCGCATAAGCGAACTTCAATTAAGCCCCAATTTGATTGGAACTGTTCGCGGGCGCGCATCCATACATCGCGGCCTTGATTTGATGCTCGATGATTGCTGTTGAGGATAAATGGTGGTGATGATTCAATGATGGTGGAGCTTGGTAAAGTGCGGTGGAATCGGGGCTGTGGTGGTCGATTTTCGCGGGTTAGGGTTTCGCTTGGATGGTTGGTGCGACGGGTAAGAGGAGGTCGTGGTAACAGGGGGGTAGGTCGGTGCGTGGCGCGACGGGTGAGGGGAGGTCATGGTGAGCTGGACGTCGGCCGTTCAGTTTCTGTGCTGGGGAAGAGGTTAGCTGCGTGAAGGGGGGGGGGGGGGGAGAAGGAATGGTGGTGTCGTGGTGAAGGTGGTGGCAAGGGTGGTGGATTTTTTTTTTTTTTATATAAAAGTTATTTTATTACTTAATATATTTTTAAAATAAAAAATATTAAATAAATTTTTTTAAATCAAATTAAATTAACAAACCAATAAAATAACGACACGTGGCATGGTAACTTGTAAAAACAAGTTACCAACCGGTTTTGCCTGTTAAAATTCAACACCCCCTAAAGGTTGTAATATTAATAATTAATCGAAAGGTTGTATTATTAAAAAAGAACCGGCCAAAGGTTGTATTATTTTCCGCAATTTTTCCTTATTTAAATCATATTTTCCTTAAAAAAAAATGGTATAACATATTTTGCAATAATAGTGTAATGAATTTAGGGTCTATTCTCTTCAAATTATTTTCAATTCAGTTTTTAATTTCCTTCTCTCATAAAATATTCAGTTTAGTTTAGTTCAATTCAGTCAATCAGAACAAGCCCTTATGGTTGGCAATACTGGCAAACGTGTTGTTCGTGTTCGAAGTTAAACGAGTTGACAAACCTCAACAGTAACCCAACTCATTTAATAAACGTGTTATTTCATGTTGACCCGTTTCGTGTCGAAAACTCTTCACACTAACCCACTATTTTCATGTTTAATTCATGTGGTGTTATAAATCAAAATGTTAGTTTCATTTAAGTTAATAATCATAAAACAAAAATTATTAATCTTTTTTCTTAAGTGGGTTGATGCATGTCACAATCCTTAACACTAACCCAACCTATTTAATTGATTTGATCAGTTTAGTTAAACGTATCACAATTCCTTGACATTTAACCCGAATTTTTCGAATCCAGTTTGCATCGTCATATCAGCTTTTTACCAGCTCTAGTTGGCATGTTCGTAGGTACCGTGGTAGTTGCTGTGGACATCATCAGTTTTAATGGCTTTGAGCCAAAAACAATCAACTGTCCATCAAATTATCAATACATGCAACTTATTGTTGTGATTGATAATTCAATAAAATAAGCTATACTAACCATATTACAAACTTCTAATAATTGAAATTGTGATATTACTTCCAAGGCCTCAACTTTTGTGTAAAAATCATGAACCAATAAATCTTTGCTAAATTTTTGTTCTCAGAACTCACATTGAAACATAGGTAACTTGTAAGCTTCCTCTTATTTTGGTAGTGTACTTTCTCAATAATGTGGAAATATATTTTATCTTAAAGTGTAATACTCCGTACATTTTACCATCATACTTTCCCTATTCGTTTTCATTAAAGTTTTACCATCTTCAATAATCTAACTACAAAAACAAAAAGTCCTGTAATATGTTATTGAAGTTGTGAATTGAAGAATAGAGGGAGTATAATTTATAATTTCTTCAAAAAAAAGAGTTCTATATCACACTTTAAGATTTTATATATATATATATACCTAATAACATAAGCTACCAAGTTAACGATACTTTCTTAAGGATAAACGATATCAGATACAAGTTACATTAGTCCCAATTTCTTATTTTCCGTGTTTAGAACAAAAATAATTCACTAAACATAAATTACAAAATTACATTATACACATCCATATATTTATACAAATTAAACTGCGTAGCTATGAACAGCCAGTAAAATCACCTACACCCTGATTATTCAGGGCATCACATTCTCAATGCAATCGAGCGAACAAATTTCTGTGAATTTCTGTTTCAGATAAAACTTCATCGTTGCCCAACCTCTGCTATATCTCTCAACTGATGCACTTCCATAACTTACGTGTAACAAGCAAATCTGAAACTTAAGCCCTAAAATAGCTGCACGGGCCCGCTATGCTTTTTTTTTTTTTTTTTTTTTTGGTGAAGAAGAGGGGCAAACCCAATAGCATATACTACACAAAGGCAGGGACTCCAGCAAACATGAAATATTCTCTTCTTAAGCACTAGCAACTCGTAAGGTAAGCGAATAAATGGGGATAATAATCACTTTAAATGATGAGTGCTAAGTGAAAGTGATTAGACTTCAGTAACAAAAATAGACCACCTCATTTTCATTCCCCCATTTATATCGCCAATCAAACGAGCCAGAAAGGCTTGCCCATTGCAGATAAATACACAAAACTATATTCCTCAGCAATCAAAACATTTCCCACATCGTAGGTAGTTTTATGTTATTTGAGAAGAGGGGAGGGCACATATCTCCACAAGGAATCACGGTAGCCGAAAAAGTTAAAAGTCAAGTAACTTTAAAACATATAATCCACAAGCAAGGCAGGAAAAAAAAGAAGCAGAACTTAACATAGCCTTAAGCAAGGTACAAAATGACACCACTCAAACAAAATCTTCCATTGTAAATCTCACTAGTCTGAAAATTAGGTCTTAATCCCTGGATCCTACTAGAGCTTGACAAAACAAGCTAACCTTTAAATCTCAAAAGGACTGAAAGGTCAATAACATAACATCTTCAAATATACCCTATCGCGCAAAATAACAATTTAGACCAAGGTAGATTCTAAGCAGGTAAAGGATGAGAAGAGAGGTATGGACTAAGGATTATAGAATAGTTTGGAGTATGTTCAATGGAGTTGGGAGAAAGAGCAAGAGAGACGACATAAAGCAACTGTTATCAGCTGCTTGGAACACACCACAGATAAGATAGTCTACCCCAAGTACTAGAGACAATTTCCCAATTGCAAAACCAAAAACAGAGGTCTAATCCTTCTAGATTCTAAATACGAACTTCAGGCTTTTGTCACAGGAATTTACAGTTGTCTACAATCCCACTTACCTTCATCATATTATTGACCCACAGGCCACAACCCTAATGTAGAACATATACACACTCTAAAGCTTGTATTGGATCTCTTATAGCTGTAGATAAACCTACCACTTTCATTACACTTCACAGTAAAGCTATATAATCTTAAAGTAACAGAACTTCTCTATTAATTCTAATAGACATCATGTCTAAAACAATTGCTGCACCCCTCTTTAAAAACATAAAAGAACAAAAACCAACTTTCAGGTGACTAAACCAGCAAAATAAATAAGCCAAAATGTTAATAAATTTGCAAGAGCAACCTACAATTAAATAAGTATGACTGTCGAATAAATAGCACAAAGTCGAATTAATGGCAAAAAGAGTAAAGGTAAATGATGGCAGCAATGAGATAAATGCCGGAAGCATAGCACTGATTAAACTATCAATAACTTACCCAACTACAGGAATTATAAAAACATCAAGGGCTATCTCTAGAATATGATCTGGGTATTAAAGTGCAATGACAACTAAAGGGAAAACACTCAGCACTAAGTTTTGGGAAACAAATAGGAAGATGGAAAAATTATCAACTCAAACCCTATGAAAAGTTACAGCGGTAAACGTTTTCGAACAGTTGAATAACAGTGCAGAACAAACTAAGACAAATCAAGGCATACTGTGGCTACATAGGTTCAGTGGACCGGAAACATAGAAAGAGCTTGGTAAATTTGGTATCATGGACATGGCAAGTTTGATATTGTAGTTCTCCAAATAAATTGGTCTCCTGGACAAAAGCATCAAGGTTGGCCAAATGTTTGTCAAACGCTTTAGATCTGGTCTTCTGGTTTAAGCAGGAGGCTTCGTCAAAGGAGGCAGGAAGCTAGCTTCAGGGCTTCAAAGTTTCAGCTGTTTTAACGGGAATGGAAAGGAAGACATGGAAAACATGAGTATCACAACTCTATACAGGGATTCAGCCTAGGTTAAGCAAACTTTTCCCTACTCTAGATTACCAGAGATTAGAGATACAAAGTATGATTTTGGATAACATAACCCAGGGAACCAGTTACCTGAAGATACCTCTTTGCTAATCTTAATAATATTGTCTCCTTCTGGAGCCTGGAGCCTGACCAGATAACCTGCCAGGAAAATCTTATATTAGAAATTTTCAAAAGGGCATAGAAATCAGCACATCAATGGCTTATACATAGATAGTATTATGTTCCCAAACTGTAGTGAATAGTGATAAGAAACTTTCATTATGCCTCAGTTCTCAGTAACAAATTATCAAAAGACAGTCTCAATCATTCTATCTTCATAAATAACAAAATTTTCTATATCACAGATTAACTAGTTTAACCCATTTCTCCCCTCCCTAAAACCAACAAAAGAAAGATGCAGCTGCAGGTAAGGATTTATTAAGGAAATAAAACTTACATTGAAGTGTACTGCACTTAAACTCTTAAAGGATATATGTTCCCAAATGAAAAAAAAAGGCAAGTAAATGTACAATAATTCTCAATCTTACCCTGAACTACTACGCCCTGATGAATAGCTGCCATAAACACCATAATTACTCCCACTACCAGTGCTCTGCAAATTAGGTTATCACGTGTTATCCATAGCCCAAACAGAATAAAGATGAACAGATCAGATTAACAAGCCATATACAATGCAAGAAAAATGAAAGATGTGATATAATCAAGTCTAAGATTAACAAGCCATATAATCAAGTCCCAGGGATTGAAAATGTGTGAAACGACCAAATTATAAGGTTAACACCCATCAGATCTAAGTGGAACAGGCAACAAATATACCTGTATACCAGCATAGCTACCATAGTGATCAACCGAGGGCAAATCATTTGAGCCACCATATCCACCTGAGTAAGAAAGCCCACGACCATGTCGTTTACTATCTCTACCGTCATATGGCATGGAATCATGATCATCAGGTGAAAGGGGGACATAAGGAAGAACAGGAAGCATCACTTGCCCCTCCTTTTCAAAGAGGTTTGCTCTTAATCGTGACGCAATATGTATAAGAGCAGTTTCAGCTACATCCAGGTCACCAGAGATCTGACAGGTCAAAGATATTTTTTCATTAACATCAATCAACCAATTAAGTGTTATCACTTATCACAAGACAAGGAACATCTACAATTTGCATCATTGCTCTCTTTACCTGCACCATTTCTTCATCATCCGCTGCAACCTTTGGGAGATCATCCTTTGAAAGGATGCGAATGTTAGCCTTTGTAATGTTCCTCATCTCAGTGATAATAGCACCTCCTCTACCAATTAAGCAGCCAATACGTGTTGATGGCACAAGGAGACGGGTTGTAAATGCAACAATTCCTGAGTCCCTCTCAATCTTCTCACTACATCTGGGTTGCAAGCGCCTTGCAGCTTCAATTGTTGGAGAGACTTGATCTTCAAAATACTGTTCAACAAACATGATATTATCATAAAGATGGCAATAAAATCAATCATCCCAATAAAAAAGCATACACATTGAATTATCTTACCTCCTTCGATGATATTGTTATTAGGCAGTCATCACCTTCCGTAGATGAACTATCAACTTTGATACCTGCTCTAGTCTCTTGTCTGATTTGATTTATGATAGTACCACCTTTTCCAATCACACCTCCAATATTTGCAGTAGGACAGACAAAACGAATGGAAAAATCCTTCATTGAAGAATCTTCCCTCGATGAAACGTAACCAGAACGAGGCCAATCTCCCCTCTCAGCTTTGTATCCTCCATAAGAACCAACAATAGGAGCAAAAATAGGAGCACCACCAGGTGCCCCAATGAGTGAGCCTGCTGAAGGATACAGACTAGGAGGTACAGCAGACGTCAGCATGTGTTGTGATCGTGAAGGATTATCATGAAGACGGGAAGCAATCTGGAATAAAGCTTTCCTCACGACTACAGCTACTCCAGATATCTACACCACATGAAAGCATTTTAAATGAGTAAATAGGTTTAGGGAAAAGGGGAAAAAAAATTGCCAGACCTTAATGTTAAAAACACCTGATCAAGAGACAAAACATGAATATCAAAAACACTAAATTGCTTTTCCAACACACAAACAAGATAATTATTCTTTTTTTTTCAATAAAAAAAATAAAAAAAAAAATTCATACATAATAGAGGGATGAGAGAGGAAAAGGGTGAAAGTAAAAACAACAATCATCTACAAAAACGTTAAAACACGCTATTTCACTTGAAAAAACTTAGAAAGAGGGGGAGGGGGAGAGAGAAAAGAAAATTGATAAATTTTAACTTGCAAAAAACACATTTGGACCACATAAATAATCCTAATGTGATGATTCTACCAAAAAAAGTTCTATAAGGCAAATTAGTATCTCAAATTACCTGCAAAAGTTCATCAGTGCTTAAGGCACATGCCGGCAAATGATCATCCTTTAAAATCCGTATCTGAGCACCAGTTTCGCTACGAATTGTTTGAACTATCTGACCACCTTTACCAATAATACATCCAATCTGATCAGAAGGGACAAGCAGCCGAGCAGTAACATTTTGATTACCTTCAGGCTCATCATCAGCACCTGCATCCTCAGCAATCACTCTGTCATGCACCCTAAAGAGTGCATCCTGGGCTGGACAAACCTGAGAATCCATTTCATCAAAGGAATTTGTTTCTTCACTCGCACTATAAATCGTCACGACCCGCTCATCACATCCTGGCACAGTCTCACCAATTCTGATCTTTGCTTTGGTGTCCAATCTCAATTGTTTGACAATCTCCCCTCCCCTGCCAATAATGCTTCCAATTTTTGTCGCAGGGCACAAGTAGCGGTATACAGTATCATCTGTTCCAATTGAAAAAGGATCTTCACCTGAACTTCTTCGTTTATTCCTACCATTCTCAGAACGATCCAGGGAATGAGCTCGCTTACCGTGATTATTTCTCTGTCCTGCCATTAGGTGAAACAACTTTCTGCCTAAAATTTAAACAGACAAGACAATTAGTTTATGAGGAAGGAAACAAAATTTCTCTCTCCATACCAAATAAGCCACATAAAAGACTTGATAATAAAAAAAAAGAAAAATAAAAAAAGAATCAGCCCATGCCAATGCTTCGCCCTATTCACAACTGAGCCCCCAGATCCACAAAATGTCTGGTAGTCTTCAAAGGATGGTATTGTGGCGCCCCCAGAATAGGTCACAATATCTTGGAGAGTAACAAGACCATTTACATTACAAAATGAAGCGAAAATACAAAAATATCAAGTGTTATGAAAGCATAACTTACAAGGGACTCATCTATCCAATCTAATATTAAGGAACAAAATATACACAGCTTACATTGAAAGATTTGTCAACAATTTTACGAAAGTACACTAAATTCTTTTATTTTATTTTTTGAAAGTCCAATTTAAAATAATGTTATTCAAGTAAAAATAAAAATAAAAAAAAAATCCCAAGAATACTTGTGTCACCTCCCAATCTCCCATAACCAGAAAGAAATCATACATCCCATTTAACATAACATCATCTATCTACCCTTTCTAAATTTGGAGAAATCAGATAATATAACAAACCCCTTTATAAAAATAAAGGTGAATACAAGATCACACGGAAAAAATTATACGGAGTACAAGCATAATATGGAATGCTGCAACTACCCTCAAAATCTCCCAATTAAAATTAAAGAAGAAGACAATCTAAGTAAAGCCTAACTTCACCAATCGAATCGAATAAACTCAGTTCCAGTACATCATATATGTCTTGTTTTCCTTAAATACATTAAATCATGCGAAAACTCTTCAATGAACTTGCCCCCCAAACCCACAAGGCCACAATAACTAAACAGGGCAGCATACTAAAAACAAACAGAGTATTAATCAAATTATTCATCCCGATGATCAAATTCACCGAAATCAATACCAAAATCGGATAATCAACCAAAAAGATATCTTTATACGTAATCTAAATAACCTTTTGCAAAAACCCTAATCACGATTTTCTGCGGTACTACTACAATGTAAAATTGAAAGCCTTATAACACAAAATTCTCCAAAATATGAAAAAATAAAGACAATAGATTTTGATAAACAAGCACAATATCCTTAAAAATCAGGCCATAAACCCTAAATTATGAAAAAAAAAATCATCAAATTGAAAAAGGTCAATCATAAATTCATAAGAGCTAATCAAATTAAAGAAAACCAAAACAACCAAGAATATACTGATCGTAAAGCTCAATTGATTAATTGTTAAGAAAGATGAAGAAGAAAGAGAATAATAACCTTGGATAAGCGACGAGATCGACTTTGAAGAGAGAGAAAATTGATGATGGTAGAGAGAGAAAGAGAAGATTTGATACGCACTCGTGGAATGTAATTCGTCTCAGCATAGACCTCCGAAAACCAAACCCTAATAAGCCGGTCTATTTTACCAATTATATAGGACAAAATAGGAGGGTAGTTTTGGGTTTTTTAACATGAACTAAACTACTCTACCTGCCTATGGACTTTGACTTCTGATAAAATTCTACTGGCAATTTTTTTTTTTTTTTTTAAGGAAATAACTTTTTCAACTTTGATCAAAATAATCTCAATTTTTAATTATTTTTTAATAATTCGAACTTTGATATAAATTTGCTTAGTCCCAACCGATCATCAAACTTGTTATAACAATTCACCTAACACATGTTAGGACATGATTTGTCAAAGAAATAAAAATTTAAATAAAAAACTTTAAATTTAAAATAAAAAAATTAATTAACTAAAAAGTAAAATCCCACAAGTCCACAACCCCTATTCGGTAGCCCAGCCACCTCTCCGGCATTGTACCTCCGTGTACCCCAAGGTCCCTGCCCCCACCTCCGGTCGCATCAAGACCCACCTCCACCGCACCAGACACGACAACACGCTTCTCCTATTATCCTCCCCACCCCAAAATCACCATGACGACTCCTAAAATCCTTAAAAAAAACACCTCCCTCACCCGCATAAACCTCGATCTCCATCTCCCTTACCCTCGAAAACCCTAGAGAATAGGGGTTGTGAGGGTTGGGGAAGGAGCGATTGGCGATTTAAGAGGTTGAGGAGGTTTTTCTAAAGTTTTTTAGGGATGGGTAAATGGAGGTTTAGGGTGAAAGACGACGGCATGGGCGGTGCAGGGGGGGATCTGGAGAGTAGCAGGGTGACAAGTGTCCTGGGGCTAGGCGGAGGTTGGCGGTCGAGGAGGTGGGCAGGTGGTTGGGGCTGATGGGGGAGGTGAAGACGTTTTTTTTTTAATTATTTTTAAAATAATTAGTTTTTTTTAATAGTAAGTTAAAAACATTTATTTGACTAATCACATGATGACATGTGTATATAAAACTTTTTTCAAAAAAATTTACCTATTCAACAGGTTGCTGGTCATTCGGGACCATTAGAAGCAAATTCATATTAAAATTGAAAGTTGGAATTATTTTGGGCGAATCGAGCAAAGTTGAGATCATTTATGTCAATTTTTCCTAAAAATAATACAATACTTTTAATTTTGTATGGAGCATATGAAGTACATATACGAATATAAAGATAAATTTCATTATAGATTCTAACCAAATTGATTTGATATGTTTCATTTTGTGAAAATTGTACAAATAAAGTGAGTAGTGTTTAATTAATTCTGACCCCTTACTCGCCATAGGATGCGAATTGGCCGACTTGGTGTAGTTTGATTCAATCCAGTCAAGTTTTAAACTGGCAAACACCCCTAGAACTAACATACTATAAAACTCCGTCCAATAGCTCAAAACCTACTTTTTTATTTTTTTTTTATTTTTTTTTTAATTTTAGGTAGCGATTCCAGTAATCACAAATCTAGCACTACCCAATAGCTATTCTCACTTTAGTAGTAAGGGTGTAGGCTCAGTGTACCATTCCCCTTCCAACCTTGATACATACTCCCTCCGTTTTTAAATATTTGCTCAATTTCTTCATGCACGGAGTTTTAGGAAAAAATGGATAAAGTAATAAAATGTGGAGGTAGTGGGATAAGTGGAAGAATACAAAATTAAAAGCAAAAGTACTGGAGAGAATTGAAGGAGAGAGAATATGAAGACTACAAGAAAATTGTCTTTTCGTAGCGATTATTTTGTAGCGATTGTACATTCGCTACAATATGCAAGTATGTTAATGAAATAATTAAGGAAATCGTATCAGTTTACAATCTCCATGGTTTTCCCTTATAAAATCGATACGGAAAACATAATAAGACAAATCCACACTATTTTTTCACATTTATAAAATTATGAGAAATTGTATCATTACAAATGCCACTAAATCCTAAAAATCGATATGAAAAGCCTTTTCTACACTAGATATATTAATATTGTTTGACAAAGAATATATAAAATATGTCATAGTTTATTTGAAACTTTTAATATAAGAGTTTGAGGTTGCATGTTCGAATCTTGTGAAAATCATATGTATGTTTTTTTTAAAGAAAACAAGTTCAACATTTATAGCAATTATAACCGCTACAATAATTACCATGATTGGATGTAGTTTTTCGTATCGATTTTTAAGGCCAACCCCAACGATATTAAAAAACACTACTAAAAGCTAAGGCAACGAGGGATATTGTATTGAATGACCATTCGTTGGGAAAGCTTTTGTTGCAATTATAATCAATACTAAAGGTTAAAATAATCCTATCGCTACGAAAAAGGTTATTTTCTTGTAGTGGAAATTATAAAATATGATTTATGTTGGGTTCATTAGGTGAGAGAAATGAATTATATATAGTAAAAGCTTTTCAGATAAGAAAATGGAGCAACTATTTAAAAACAACTGAAAAAGAAAATTGGAGCAAGTATTTAAAAACGGAGGGAGTACCATGTAGTCCATATTCTTAGCCAGTTGAGTGATCTAATGTCCTCTACTACACTCTAAACCTCTAAAGGGGCTTTATCTAGGTACTTGAGTGCTTGCAAACCCAAATCCTTCCAAACATTTAATGAATGCTATTGTAGGGAATATTTCAAGCATTATCCCTAGCTTGAACCCCACTGTGATCATACACTTAAGCAAGGTGGCGTCCAAAGGGAAAGAAGATAGAGCAAAAGAGTCGCCAACAAGTTTTAGGAACTTGTAAACCGTTCACAGGGTGAAGGTTACACCCCTTAACGATCTAGGAGATCGTCAACTCCAATAGGTCTGGAACCATGACTGGTAATTCGAGGATGAAGGTACAAATCCAATCTAAAAGAGATTCAACCTGCTCTAATAATAGGCCTCTACTTTATTATGATCGTATTCATGTGTGCTTTTTGACTAACACGCAATCAATAGGTTTAACCCTAAACCTGTTTAACTATGTTGGTTGAATATTAATGCACAAATAAATCTATTATTGGCGATCACTTAAATTATAATCAAATTAACCCTAACAAGATTATCAATTATCTTATTAAGCGTGATTACAAGTACAAATTACCTTTAAACATGCATAAAAGGTGTGATCAAACAATAACAATAAATATCAAGCAACATAATAAATAATCAAAACAATTATTATAACAATTATAAAAATAATCATAATAATAATTATAATCAATAATCATCATCATCATGTTAAAGCATAATAGCAAGATCCTAGGCATGATACTAACAAGATTAATAACAAACCCTAGCATATCACTAAACAATAAAAATCAAATATATAGCCCTAACATGATACTAACATGCTATATTAGGAAGAAAATAGGAAACATCGCAGGAATCATAATTGATATAAGCAAATCACCCTAAATATCATACTACATAAAGCATCCTAACATGATACTAGGAATCAATAAAACATCCTAACATGATACTAGGAATCAAAATAACAATCTAAGCATAAATCAATAAATCAATTAAAGCACTTACTTGGATGCCTCGTACCTATTTCTAATAACAAAATACACGCGTTAGTAACTTCAAGGAAAATAATAAACAATAATTAAATTAAATAATTGAAAAGATTTAAGAAAGTTTATACTAGATTTGGGACCAAACCCTCAGAAATCAAACCTTTCACGTCTAGGGCGAAGACAACTTCGAATTAGGCTAGGTATGTCTAGTGCTAATGTATGAGAAATTATGTTTGTAAAAGGCTAGGCTAGAAAGAGGAGAGAGAATCAAGAAATTCTTGATGAGAGTTGATGAGAAGAAAGAATTAGAAAGAATAAGAATTGGTGAGAATTGATGATTGAAAACAGAATTTTAAGAGGCTATTTATAGAGAAAATCAGCCGGGTGGATAAAAAACTGAATCAGAGTTTCGACGAGAATAAAACTCGATTAGCGCCAGACGCTGGTCATTAGCGCCAGGCGCTGAAGGTTAGCGCCAGGCACCAAGACGCTAATAATCATCAGTTTCACGAGTTTTTTGTTTTCATAATATCTTTTGATCCAGAAGTCTAAATAAGGCATATAATATGTCGTTGGAAAGCTCTTGAAGTCTATTTTCCAACCCAATTAAAATCATATTAAAATATTTTTTATATAAAATGATATGGCCGAAATAGTAGGACGGTGTTAGTTTTGGATAGTTTTTCATATCTCATTCATATCTTTTTCGTTATAGTTCGGATTTAATATTATAATATATCATTGGAAAGATAATTTCAATATCTATCCAACCATATAAAATTTGGATAAAGATTATGAGGTACGAAAATAAAATCTGAATATATTCCACTTCGTACAAAACAATGATTCTAAAAAGGAGTAGTTTTATTCAATTTCAAATTCTTTAAAACATAATTATCAATCCTAACTCCATTAGGATTTAAAATAACTTTCTAGAGTATTCTAGAAGACATAATCAATCCGAATAGCTTTAGAAATGATAATTAATAATAGGTCCTCCTCTAGATCATTGGGCCACATATAAAAACCAAACCGGCCCCAGTTTAGTATTTTGGCCATAACTCCCTCATTATTCATCGGAATTGGGCTTATAATATATCGTAGGAAAGGTCTTTTCAAGCTCTATCCAACTACACTATTATTGGACCCTTATCATAGACCAAACTAAACTGGAATGCACCTTTTTCAAAAATAGGGTAAGAAAAGAAATATTTTCAAAAACAGAAAGAAGAGATATTTTAATAAAAACATCCTCATCACTAGGCTTTCTACACTTTCACTTCATTCGATTATGGTTCGACGTAAAAGGTACTCATCACTGGGTTTGGTTTTGGGGAGACACATTTGGGTGTCTACAACTATATCCATAACCCTTAAAAGCCAAATTCAAGGTTTAAGGTTGCATTTATTTTACTTTTGCTTATGAACAGTTAAGTACCGGTTATGCCCTTAATTCATGCCTATTTTTTTTGCTCAAAATCCTTGTGAACAGTGATTTGGCATCCCTACCCTTGCTTTTTCTTTTTTGTTTCTGTTTTTTTTTTTTTTTTACTTTTA